AAGGTTTTCGGTATCCTCTAGACAAATGCCGGGCCTCCTCCCAGATGCCAGCAGCTTGCTGTGGCTCTTGGTGACTGCTGTGTACCATCAGGCGTGCTCAGACAAGCTGTCTCCTGGCTGCTTGCTGTCCGTGAGGCAGACGTGGAGGGGAGGAAGGCAGCTAGGGGAGCAGAGCCTTCGCATTGCCCTGCAAGCTCCTTCAGAGCTGTGTACACATGCTGGAGGGGAGCTGCGTGGGCGCAGGGCTCTGTTCCCCATCAGCTTCTGGAGGGCAACAAATTCTCCTGCTCTGTATGCTCAGAAAGGAGCTGGGTTTGTATTCTAGCCTATGGGAAAAATGCACTGCGTCGCTTTAGTTTTCTTCCTTCCCTAGTCTTTTAGGGTACGTGTGGTCGTTTTTCCACTTTGGGTGCTCATTTTACTGTTTTCTCACAGTTCCTGACCCTCCTAACTTGGCAGATCTAAGCAGCCTTTCCTTTAAAGTTCTGGAAAAGGGGATATTTTCCTGTAGATTCGGCTCTGCCATTGAGGTAGGAGTACAAGAGCACTCGAGTACCTTTGTTTTTAAATAATGGTCGGTTTTCTAAATGTAATCTGTGATCTCTGTCATTGTGGCTGCCAGCACCATTTGTCATGTGCTTGTCGCTCCAGTGCTGTACAGAGCACCCAGCCCCAAAAGGAGAACGTTCCCACCACAGAAAGCTTTCAATCCAAGTAAAACAACAATTGCTGGGAAGCGTGAGGACAGACACGGCATTAATCAGCTGTCAGGTGGGGTTTTCAGCACGCTGTCCAGCTGGTGGGCATAAAGGGAAAGGAGAATTTCAGCAATCTGGAACGGGATGGAGACTTGGTACTGAGATACAGGGATGATGGATGGAGTAAGATTAGGTTCTGCTTCCAAATGTAATGATGCTACTGATGTGTATGGTATTAACTGGTATGAAGCGGGGTTTGATGGCCTGATGGGCTTCTGAAGTCTACAAGTGTTGAGATGGATTTGATCTGGCAGAATGAAGAAGTACTGGGACTGCTGTCAAAGCAGTGGTATGGGGAAATGCCAGAGGGTGGGGGAAGGTGGTGGTAGCCAAGGGCAGGGTAGAGAGAGGTAGGAGTCTGGACAAGTCATTTAGCAAGAAACTCCTTGATCTGTAGTTAGAGAGAAGAATCTTTGTCAGACGTCCTGGAAGGGATGAGCTCTGCAGTTTGGGGTCAGCCGGGCGGGTCAGAGGAGTTGGGCTGTGATGAAGTTGGTGATTTGAGATCTCTTAGAGCTGCTTAGATCAGTTCTAGAGGACTTCAGCCCTGGAAGCTGTCAGCCCCTTGAGCTTTGCGTAGTCAGTCCTGACGTTTTGAGCCAGTCTTATCTGGCTAAAATTATACAAGGTGCTGATCTGAGAAGAGGGAATGCTGTTACCGTCCAGACCTTCACCTCTTTCCCTGCTTTTAACAAATCCTGAAGGGGAGCAATTATGGTTTGTATTGACATTTTTTTTAAAAAAGCGAGAGCTCTGCCTTCTCTAGAAATGAAAATAAGGGATTTCTGTCTGCTAATGGAAAGTAACAGAGTGCAAGAGAATGCTCTTTCCTTCTTTGTCTCCTAGCTGAGAGCTGGAGGCAGCACTGGAGAAAAAGCAATAGAGCTGGCCACCTGATGATGCCTCCTGACAGGTATTAGCTTTGCCAAGTGACCGAGGTGATATTTATTCTCACTTCTGCATGTTTTCCTCCGGTCTCCCAGTGCTGAGGCTGCCAGTCCAGGCTTAGTGGTAAGCCAAGACTGTGATGGGGGGAAAGAAGGAGAGTTGAACTCTTCCCTTCTCCCTCTCGTTCCAGAAAATACATTAAAAAGTTGTTTCTTTCTCCCACCCTAACACTGATAACTTCGGAAAAGTCTTTTCTGAGGCAGTCCGTGTTTCTTTTGAACAGTCACATCTTTTCAATGAAAAGCTAATGGGAGCACATGCAGTTGCCAGCAGCCTCACCAATTTATTTTTCCTCCTGGATCCTAAAGCTTGGATAACGTGGTTATGCTACCACGTTACCAGAAAGCTGGGTCGCTTGCTCCCTGTGCTGCACAGCAAATTGGTGCTGTAACCTAGAAGGCTTTCCTTGTCGTGCATCCCATCCTCCCCCCGAATCTGTATTGTTTGGGGCCACTGGGAAGGGAGGGGTTGCAATCCACAGGAAGCCTGCTGCTGGCAGCCTTCTTCCAGCCAGCCTGAGTCCCACTGGGCTTTGTGATTTCTCTCTGGTGAGCACTGGAAGGAGGCTGGCAGCCACATGCTGCACGTTTCTGGGTGCTGCTGTGGTGTGTGAGTGTTTGGAAGGTGTGCTCAGGAGTCCTCCTGTTGGGCTAGGTAAGATCATTGCAGGAAAGACAGTTTGATACTTACTTTATGGCCCCCATTCCTTACCAGGCGTCTTTCACTGCTAGTTTCCAGCCTCTGCTTGAGCAGGGTGTGCTGGAAGGGAGGGCTTTTACAGGGTGGTTAGGGTATCTCCCTTTTTTTTGTGCAGGAGGGGAATTGCAGTCTTAAATCTGCCTGCTAACAGGACAGCTTCTGTATGTATTGGGAAAAGTCTGTCTCAGTGGATCACATCTATTTTTTTCTGTAGTCTGGAGGGTAAAGCAGTCATTAGTAATTACTTTTTTTCTTTCAGGCAGGTAAATATGATCTAGAAGAGATAGATCATGACGGGTGAGTATGATTTAGGGGAGTGGGAATTTTTTAGTGTCCTAACGCACACTAGAATGTAAATATAAACCACACAACACTCCCTTTGAAACCTCCCTTGGGAGCTGAAAAGTGTTAAAGACTCCATCATAAGTCTGTCAGGCTTGTGGTATGGGAACATAATGGCCACGCAGCCAGAGCAGGTGAAGCCTGTAAGCTTCGCTGCAGAAGTAAAAGGGTTTTGACATTTCTTTCTGTTGCAGAAAGAGGTTCAGTAAGGGAAAAATCAAGCAGCTGCGTTCAAGTTTAGCTCCACTGCGGTCTTGTAGCCATGATAAAAGCAAAATCCAGGGAGAGGTAGGTATGGCGTGGATCTAGAAATAAAGGGCTCAAAAGTTAGGAAATGCTTCTCCTGAGATTATTAAGGTTGAAGTGTTTATATTTTGGATTGACTGAGCGGTGTGGCTGGGAGAAGCTGTAGGAGGAGAGGAGTGCCTTGCAGTCAGCCGTCTGTTCTCCCTCCTCAGCGGTGAGAGGCGATGTCAGAACGAGGAGACTTGGGTTTTGCTCTGCCTGCAGCCGAGCTCCAGGATTGGTTTGCATGAAGGAAGAGAGGCTTTCAAATAAAAGCGCTGCAGCTAGGCTTAAAGAAGAACTGTTCAGAGCTGGCTTGGGAAACCAGGCTCTGTAACAGCTCTCTAGGAAGAAATTGCAGATGCCTGGCCTGCTGAAATGAGACAAGAAGATGGCAGATATGAGCCATGCAGACTGCTGCAGACCTCCTTTCCTTTAGGTTCTCTTATAGCAAGAGTGAAATTTAGTTCCCTTCCAATTTTTACTTTAATATGCTGGTTTTGTGTGGACCAGCGACAGATTTTTTTTTTTTTCACTCTTCTAGAGAGAATGCAGTTTGTAATAAAACGTGGCAATTCTTTACTTCTTTCCATCACTCAGTGTTGTTAATGAAATACCCTTCATCATATTCTCTTGGCTTGAACCTAGAATAAGTTTCCGTCCTTAACGTGCAGATGTAGTTACTGTGGTCCTTGTACAAATCCCCCGTTGCTTACAAGTATTTGGGTGTTTGTGAAATCCCAAGGGGAAAAGGCAAACTTTTGGTGTTCTGGGTTAGCTTTAATTCTGCACCAAGGAATTTCTATTATTTAGGCCCAAAGTTTTCAGTTAGGATTTGGATTTCAGGTGTATGGATATTCAGTGGGTTGTAGGATCCTTTGCTTTCTGAGCCTGCTGGGGCCTGTTTTCCGTGAGAGTCTTTCGGGGCCGTTCACACGGCTGCTAAAACTGGCAGTTCCCATTCCTTCCCCTGCTCCCCACCCTTCGCATCTAAGCCAAGCACGGGTAAAAGGGCAGCTTTTATTTCGGTTTCACATTGTTTTTTGGGTTTCTATTTGGGGCTGTGAAATATCTCACCACAGCATAAGAAGGAGGAAGCTGGGGCCATTAAGGGAGCTGCGCTAGAGGTAGCGCGGTTACCCGTGAGCAGGAATACAAAAATCGGATCCGTGCATCAAGGGAAGTCGCCTCAGGATCCGTACATCTTAAAATCTCTGTGTGTGCCAAGGAGGTTATTAAGGCTGCTTCTCTCCGTGAGTGCTGGAACTGTGAAATTCCAGGCAGAAAACAATTAAACCACCACCATAGCTCTAAATGCGCGTTTCTGTGGGATGGTTTGCATTTGTTTTCTTTTTTTTCCCCCCCCTCTGGCTGCTTTCCTTATTCTGCTATCATTAGTCCACACCTCATTATGTGCTCCTAGAGAGTACATCCCTCTTGCTTGTTAGGAGGGTGTGGGTGGTGATTTGCAGCGGCACAAAATGCTGAAGGGGAGATAATCAGCTGGGTAAGGCATTACTCTATGCACAGACCGACTCTCTGTGCACAGCTTACTTATCCCACATTGGTTAGAGCCTTGCATGTTATAGGTAATGGAAAATGCAATAGAAAAACTTCAACTGACTTGTCTAGAAAAGAGAAAAAAAAAAAGTGTGACTGAAGGATAAATACATGAGATAGATTGTCCTACACTAGTAAAAGTTGTAAGCTGGGGGACTCTGTAGTGATGCCAGAAGGATAATTTTGACATAGAAACTTGCACAGAATAGCCTTATACAGTGTTGCATTCCCTTGCATTTTCTTCCTCAAATATCTTATCCTGGATCCGTGTCGAGCTACAGAGGGTGTTTTTGCCATTATCTGTCATAACTCTGTTACTGTATGGCATTTCTTAGTACTTTGTGATAAATGCTTACAACATTTGGGTTCTTCTTTCCTAAGCAGTGTTTTGTCTTTTTTTCCCCCCAGCTATCCATTGCAATCTGAATCCAAATGGTATTGATCACCCTGTCCCCACAGAAGGCATTAATCTGCAACTTGAAGGTGAAGGAGGTGAATCGCCCTCTGCGAAGAACACCAGTGCTCCGAAAGGGCCCGAGTCAAAAGAGACCCCCAAAAAGCAACAAGTGGAACCAGAAATATCTAAAGTGAGTAGAACGGGATACTTACTTATTTTGGTGAGTCTTTAAGAATCCAGGCGTTTTGAGGTCGTGACTACTGCTTAAAAAGCATTCATCATCCTATTAAAGACATACAAAGGTGCAAAAATAAGTCTAAGGAAGTGGGTGTTACAGAAGGGAGGTATTGCTGTGGAGTTTTTGCACACACATCATGGACACTGCACTATTTTATTTCTCTCTGTGTGAAGATAATGATAAATAATGAAAATATTCTTTTTCAGACTTTGTAAAGACCTGTTTTCTGAATGATTTGAGTAGCAACCAGAATGGCAATAGATAGGGTTTTTCTTTTTATTTTCTTTTTGGTAACTTGTTTATTTTTTTCCTGGAGCAGGTAAAGGAAGAGAAAGGTTTAAACGTATGGATGTTTATATGGACAACTGAGTTCAACAAACTGTTAACTAATTTTAAGAAAAATACCCTGTCAGTTCTTCCATGTCTGGTATGTCAGTGAATAAACACACTTCATGGGTGAATCATAAAGACAAATGAAGCATCTGCACCCGTTCATAAGCTGATGAGAGTTTTGCTATTTCTTTGTGTGCAATAGATGTGACTGTGAAGTGCAGGTGAATGTGTGTGCTCCAGACCCTTCAGGGATAGAACAATAATTTGTCACATATTGTTCTAGTTAAAAATGTATCTAATATGAGAGAATATTTTTTTAAAGAATACTAGTAGTTTGGGAGAGATTCTTTAAAAGCCCTATCAGTCTTACTGACCTGCCTAAAAGCAGTTTTTTTGAGGGGATGAAAAATGTCATTGTTACTGAATCTGGTACTTTGGGAGCTAGTAGTGCAAATAAAATGACTGTTGTCATCTATCCTTTTTTTTTTTTTTTTTTTAAGGACCAAAAAAGGCTAGGTACAGTAAGAGTATTTGCTACTGTCATCAATATAGTAAATCTTACAAATAATATGCATACAGTTACAAGGTATTTCACTTTTTGAATAAAATAGCATTAAATGTTTTGAGCAGTAGCCTTAACAATAAAGGCTTGGTATGAATTCTCCATTTGGATATTTGTCTAAAATACCTAGTTATGAATAAGAACACCTTACGCTCGTTTCATTCTGTCTTTATCAGCTCGATCCAGTTGTTAATTCTATTAACTAGATCAAGTTCAAGCTGGCATTGATTAAAGTCTGTCTCTCTTTGGGCTCTGATCCAAGTGGGTCCTTCCCCCTTCCCACCTTGGGATATTCTATGAAAATCACTGTTACTTGTAGTCTGTTTTGGGGCTGGTGATCAAGCACATTGATGATTTCTCTTGAGCCCTTGGAGAACAGGTTTGTGCTTAGTTGGAATCATCCGTTTGGTGTAAAGACCACCAAATTTTGGATGAGCTTTGAGACAAAGCTCAGCTAAAAATGTGTTTACCCAGCCTTTCACTTACAAAAGCAATCTGACTCTGCCCTGTTTTGACCTCACCAGATGCAGATCTGCCCTGTATTGAAAGCTCAAGTACGTTAAACTCGGAAGAGATCTTACAAGCTTAGGCATGAATGAGCTTAGTGATGCAATGGGGCTTCCAGATGAGAATGGGCTCATGTAGCTGACACGGAACACAGGCAGATCAGGCTTGTCTTTGCTTGCAAAAGACTTATTCTAGTGGAAAATTGGAATGAGATACATTGGTGATTTAATATAATGGAGCCTCTCTCTACTATGTGAGCTGTACCTGTTGGATTGATGGATGGGAAACCATTTCTGTGCTAGGGATAGGCAGGAAAAAGAGGGAGTGTACCACTTTGAATGTAGTGAAATCAGCCGTTGGTTTCCTAAATCTGATCACAGGAGCTTTATTTAATGTGAGTTGGGCATTTTTCAGATTTAACACAGAACTGGCAAAATAACCCCACCCCAAACTAAATTTTTTGCTTGATGGAATAAGCTTGGCATAATAATATCAAGCTAATGAAGTGGGCTGCTTTTTATGAGTGCCTTGTTCATAACTTCTTTGTGTGTGTGTGTGCCTGTGTGTGGCATTAACTTTGTGACGTTTCTCATCTGGATTCATGTTATAGCCTGAGGAGGCCTGTCTTTTCAGACTTGCTCTACTTAAATGTCAGAACTGTGTTGCTTTATCCTCTAAAATGTGAATGTAGAGTTGGGATTGTCACTTGTGTGGCTTTAGGAGTTGAAGCAAGCTGTCATTATGAAACTTTATACATGCAATCATACCCGCACAGTGGAAAGATGAGAAGAAATAGAGGCAAGTATTGTAAATAAAACATTGGGGCAGATCCATTTGTTCTATATTTCCTCATTGCTCAGTTATTTTTAAAAAGGCTTCTTTGCAATCCTGTGCATTCAGATAATTAAACATGCTCCATATCCACAGTGGTGAGACATACATTGCACAAAGCATTGCAATGTATCGAGTGCAATTTAGGCTGCCTTATAGACTGTCTTCTCTGCTTTCAGCTTTCTAATTTGTCTTCATTGGGACCAATTCCAGCACTTTAAACCCCTGGCAGCTCTAAGGTTTTGCTGTCCAAAGAAACAAACAGAGTCTCCTTTCTAATAGAGCGTGTCCTTCTTTTTCTGTCTTCAGCTATGATTTTGCAGAACAGTAATAATTCATGGGCCACAGATAGATTTAAAGTTCGTCTGCAGCTACTGAGTTGCAAATAGGGGAATACATGTATTTGTTTCTGTATCTGGGATGCAGACAGCAGAAAGTGTAGATTCATTGAAGGAGCACTCATTTAGAAGCTCTTGATGAATGTGGAATCTAATTTTCATAGACAGAGGTGCGATTTTAAAGAATAATGGAGTCATGATCACAGTCGTCCTCAAACGCTGCTAAGGAACCAGCTTGTTATGTATAAAAAATACAAGGAAGTCTGAAAAACGCCACGATTACTCATATTTAAACTGATGTGTTTCGTTCATTGAGATGCTGATAATATACAGGAGATAATACAAATTAAATTATTGAAGTGTTAAAATAGCATTAGGTGTTTAAAAGTGTGTGTTTATGGATATAAATATGTATACTTTCCTGGTCAGTAAATGATTTTCAGTGTTCAGATTGTATAAAATAATCTGTCTGAGTGGACAGTCTTACAGAGCAGAAAAATTCATTGGAGAGAGCAAGGATGCTTCACGTATATCTATCGATATAGATATAAAAATAGTGTATAAAATTCATTTAACTACCACCTTCTGCCTGTCATATGTGTTTTCTGGAATTCTTATCTTTATTTTATTAAAATGCTGCTTCTGGTTGCTATGGTCTGGTTTTAATTTTTTTTTAATAGAACCCTACTCAGTAGCTCCAACTGGCCTGACTCGTGTTTATCCAGAGATAATTTAGGGTACTGAGAGCTTTACTATACTTCTCAAGTCCCATATTTTTGTCAGTATAGGCTTTAACAGGGGAAGCCTTTCCTAACAAGGTTCAGCAAGGCCTCTCAAAGAAGTGCTAGCTTTATCAAGGCTGCCCACGTACTGCACTCATGAAGTGCTGTTCAGTGTGAGCGTGACCCCCAAATCTGGTCTGTCACTTATTAAAGGTCTGTCACTTATTAAAAGACTGTTTCTTAAGTAAGGTGCGTATATCTGATGACACATATTGTCTCATGTGGGAGCAGCAGTAGCAAATAATAGACTTTTTAATGTTAACCACTAGTTAGACTTTTGTGTTAGTAATAGCAGATTTTTATCTGACTTAGAGACAAATTAACAGTCCTTTAAAATGCTCGTGAAAACTCTGGAAGGAAATTGGTAAATAGAGAGGTGTTTTGTCTTGCCTTCTGTTGATGACTGCTGTATAGACACCAGTAGAGTGCACTTTTTGTTAGAGTGTAGCTCAGTAACTCTTTCAGTTGCTTTTGCTTTCTTTAAAAAAAAAAAAAAAAAAGCTTTTTCTAAGTGACACTGAACAACACTGAAGGACTGACTGAGCTCCCTACCAAGAGGATGAGCATTTATCACAGCTTTCTGGGTCCAGCTCAGGGTCGATGGGGTGGAAGCAGCTCCTCTGGCTTCCTGAAGAGCTCTGCTCTGCTACAGGAGTACTTGGGGTGTGCAGCATAGATATTATTTTGTCAGTTACTCCAAAAAAAAAACCCTAACAGAAGAACAAAAAAAAAATTTCTGTAGAAAAGATCTCTAGGTTTTTTAATCAGTGGCTTCTGTTTCACAGTATTATCCTTTGTAGTCAAACTTATAAAATGAGTAGGATGAAGAGAGGGTTTTTGCCAAGCCGCAGTCCTGGTGATATGAGTAACGTTACATACATGCACATATTCGTAACAGCTGCTCAACCATTTTATTTTTTTTGTAATTGGTTGAGAAACATCAACAGCCACTGAGTGGGTTGGTTGGTGAAGCTTTACCATTTTGCTTTGTTTTCCAACTATTCCCCTCTTCTTTGCGGTGGCCTCGTGGGGTATGTAAACAAGAACCCAGACTGGACTGGCTGAAACCCAAAAGGATTTTGGCCAAGTGGAGGTTGAGTGTGACCCCGTCTGGTCTGTTCCACTCAGGTGCTGAAATGTTTGTGGACACCTTTCTTCCTCTCTCAGCTTACCATTTGTTTGTGACCTCTGATGTCTGAAGTCTCAAAACTGTGCAGTGGACTCGTATCCTGAGCGGTGAAACAGGAATGCTGGGTGACCCTGTGTGTTTCCAGCAGCTGAGGCTGATGTTTTTATCCCTCGCTGGCTGGCACAAAGTGCTGGAGGAACTCTACCTGTAGGCCAGAACTTAACTGCTTGGTACAGAATTTAAATTGTAATTAGCCAGGGAGACAAGAAACAGATCTGTCTGCTGCAGTCCTCTAAGTCAGCTTGTTGTAGGACAAATGCCTGATTCGGGGTCCAAATGTATTCCCAATAGCGTGTTTTTCCCCATTCTGCATCTTCCATTCCTGTTATGAATAGCGTACTGTGATGCCCCATGTTTTTTGCAGCAAGATTTCTGCATTCATTATAAAAGATCTGTCTTCTCCAGTTCAT